TTCTTCTTCTTCTTCTTCTTCTTCTTCTTCTTCTTCTTCTTCTTCTTCTTCTTTTTAATTTCTTCTTCTTCCTCTTTTGGCCGGCTCATATGACCTTTCGCACAAAATTCGTCTTCTCAACTTTTAACATTCCCCTCTGCCCATTTACATCTGGTGATCCACACAGCTGTTGCTTATATTTCTCTGGCCCTTTTCCTTCCTCAAATACTTTGAGAGAGAGAGAGAGAGAGAAAAAAAGAGAAATAGAAAGAGGGATAGTAAGAGAGAGAGAGAGAGAGAGAGAGAGAGAGAGAGAGAGAGAGAGAGAGAGTAAGTAAAAGAGAGGGCGGGCGGAGATAGGTGACCGAGAAGAGAAATAAAATTAAAGACTTCTTTTTCGTCCCCTCCTGAACTTACGTTGCGGTGTGAATCCGGCGACGGTGTAGATCCCGATGACGTCACGTGCGTGTGCTCGCAAAGCTGTTTAGTGCAGTTAACAACAGACTAGAAAATATCACAGACACAAGAAGGTCTCGAACCCAGACCATAAACAAAACGTTGATTGTCAAAGCGCTACCAAAGCTGCTCAATTAAGTAAACAGTCAAACACGATTTTAAACAGTTTATGAGTAAAAACAATGAAGCAGAGAAAATGTTCACAAGTAGTTGATTGTCGGCGTAAATTGGTAAGTATAAAAATGCAAAGCTGTAACAGTCCGCGGATAAGTAAAAGAAAAATACTGATATGTTCAGCGTCTTGAAACAGGTTATATAAATACAGGTCTTTCTTTGGCTTTGTTCAATCACAGGCGTTGATTTTGATTTGAAAACAAAATGACTATGTGCTCAAACATGTAACAACAAAATCCCTGTCGACTTATTCAAACACTCCAGCTACAACCGGTCATACAGCTGACCACAAATGTTCTTATAAATGAAATGATGCGTTCGCCACAAGTAGTTAACACAGATACTATGTTTGTTCGGATAAACGATATATTTTAACCACAAAAAAGCTGAAATGTTTGATCGTTTGATCACTTCGTCCACCTGATAATGATTTCCACAGAGCGAGTTAAGCAATTTGCACAATTTTACACTCAAGACGTGTTCTCAAAGGTAATCAGTTGGGGGTTTTTCAGTTTCCTGTTAGAACTTTGGTGATATAAACGAATCTTTGGTAGTTTACGGTGGCACTTCCACTCTCAACAAAGGCAACAATCATTAGATAATAGTCAATAACAGGTTGATCTTTGGTTGTATCAACGAATCTTTGGTATGGTTACGGTGACACTTCCACTCTCAACAAATACAACATCAGTCAGAAAATAGTCAACAATGGATTGAGAGACGTCGATGATGTTGTAATTCTTTGATGTCCCAGAGATCTGTGAGTGTTCACAAACCGTAGAGAGATAACGGTGCGGCCAGAGACAGACGAAGGATATCAGACATGCTCCACAGAACGTAGTCACTCTTCACTGATAGCATCATGGTACACAGGTCAAAGTTCGGGAACAGATCCACGATGGTCAAAGTTCAAGGTCTCTGAAGGGAAGGCTGTTTTCCCGTCAAAGAATCCAAACTGCTGTGGACAAAAGAAACAGAAAACATTAACACATTGGGAAAAAGTTATGGAACAAGTCAGAGTGGTCTCAGGGTTTAGCCAAAAGTTGATAAAACCCTTCAACTACTGTGGGCAAAAGCGAACAGAAAACATTAACACATCAGGGGGGAAAAAGTCAAAGAACAATTTAAAATGAACTCATGAAGTAGCAAAAAGGTCGAACAAATAACCCTTCAGCAATTTTCCCTGTACGCTTAACTGGTGAGCCATTAAAGCCACAACGCAACTGATTTCTAAACCAACGCCCTCGCTTTATTGTATAAGTTCTAGGAGTCGGTGGCTGAAGGGCGCTAGAGGTGGGTCCTACTTATATAACGTCTTTTCTTTCCCTCTGATGTTTCCGTCTGTCTGTCTGTCTTACTACTGCCCTCCACCATACAGCCATTAGCCATTAGTGTGTCGATGTGCTTTTCTTTACTCATACTCAGTTTAAGGAACCATCACAGCTTCTCCTCCCCCTCCCCCTTTCCTCACCCTCAACCCCACCCGCATTATGACGTGAGGGAAAGCTAAGAACAGATTTCTGATCTACAGTGCATCATTAACTGGCCGCTAAACCATCGCTTATTTATCTATAATTGAACCTTGTTCGCTAGACCATAGAGGCCGGTAATGCCCGTAATTATAGTTACAGAGTCAAAGTACTTCTCTTTACTCAAGCAAAACGATCTCTGAACCCAAGAATATATACAAATGGCAAAATCAATTCTTCTGTTGTTCACACACCTCTCCCCCTCCCTAGCCCTCCTTCCATCCCCCCCACCTCCCCTTCCCCGTCTCTGTGCTATCGATTATTCTTGTCTGGTCCGCCGTTTGCCTCTTGTGACGGTCTCGGTGACCTACGGAGTCTGCACTTGTGCTGAACCGTACATATTATGTAGCTCACAGAGTAAACCATCAAATACTACTACTACTACTACTACTACTACTACTACTACTACTACTACTACTACTACCACTACCACTACCACTACCACTACTACTACTACTACTACTACTACTAGTACTAGTAATAATAATAATAAAAGCAAATAACATTTGTATGGCGCACATGCACACATACCCCGCTCGGTAGCGAGCTCTATGAGTTTTACGCTATATTAAATCCCGGCACACCCAAGAGCACCAAGAAACATTCTCGACTTCCTGAGAAGCATACAAAGCAAGCAAAAATTGGGTTCCCATTCCCACTTGAGTGAAGTGAAGGAAAATCACATAAAGTGCCTTTCCGAAGGACAGAACATCCCTGACGGAATTCAAACCAACAATCTTACGGTTATGAGTCCAAGAGCCGTTACGGGCATTCATGGTGTACTGGCTAGGCTGTTCACTGTTGCGTGTAAAACACTCGAGTTTAATTTCCTCTAGGGGATTTAAAGCTATCGTACAGCATATATATCTTTGTCAATCCAGGGGGGGTAGTGTATCTTATTCAGTCAGGGCTGGTTTTAACAGGCAGTGTCGGAGCAGCCCGCCTCCTAAATGATCTAAAGTGTGGCCATTAGGCGTGAAACAATTCCAGCCATTCCAACCAAGACCTTTTCCCACCGAAATCTTCGTTACAGACGCACACTGCGGAGGAAATACCACTGGAATGTGAGCACTGACACACCCTCTCCATAATAAAGGTTGATTACAGCAACAAAGAAGAAATGATAGCACGCGTGTAGGTATGTGTACAATTGTACGAGTGTATGTGTATGTTACATAATATGCATGAGAGTGCAGGTCGTGTGCACGAGTGATGTGTTATGTGTCCGGACCTGTGTGGGCTGTTTAAGAGAACAGCGACTGTTCGAATAGCCAGGAGCAACAAGAGGGTGATGCAACGGTTGGTAATGATGATGTTGAACGTTCAAGTTTTTGCGCCTTTTTCCCATTTCATTATAACTCTTCTAGGGATCGATTAAGCTGGGTTGTCTTTTAAATAGATAAGTACAAGGATTACCCATTTTCACAGTGAGCGCATAATTCAAGCTCTAATAAGCTATTATCTATTTCATATGCGTGGTCGAACTTATTGTGTATTAGTATGAAAGTACTTTGTCATAAACGGTAAACCTATTTGAAAGTATAAAATTAGATACCGACAAGCATATTTTCTCCAGCTTAGAGTATTAAAATTTATTTTGTTATTAATCAATTAAAATGTTGGGTTTTTTTTAACGTTTTCCTGGATATATTTTTGTAACCCCCTTTACTGGGATCACAGACTTTTCAAGAAGACAGAAAAGACGAGGATTCCACAAACGATACTTGAGAGACTGAAGAAAAGATGTTTAGCTTTTTGGGCCCAAGTGCCAGATCTTGTACAGACATTGGCCACCATGAATATCAGTACTATATTATTAGAATTTTGGCCAACATAGCTCTTGACTCAGTCCTATATTAGAACATTGATCATTATTTCTCTCCACTCAGTTACCTAAAATGTGGCAATGCTCTGGTTATTTTCAGTTGACCAAAGATTTCGACTTTTCTGATTTTTTGGCCTGCCTCTATCTCTTGCTCATTTAATTGTTCCGATTACGGTGCGATATTCAAGAACCCTGTCACAACTTATATCATGTACAAAATTGCACCTGTCTCATTCTTACTGGGTTTTTAAAAAATTAAACATCGTTGTAGATTGTTACATTTCATAAAACGAGAGAGGCTTACGGTCTCTCTGACAGCGTGTTTCTTCTACCTGTCGACCCCACGGGAAAATTAAATTCGCATTACATTAATAACATAAATAATCGCCGGAAGAGCAGAACTTTAGCTTGCCGTTGCCAGCCATATTTGATTCGTAGATTTGTAGATAAATGTACATTATACTATACACTATAACATTCACACAGGCACTTGAGAAAGCAGGGGCAAATAGACGTATTAAATCGGAAATTAATACGAGAGCGCACACTGTTCTGGGTAGGTGTGCATGAGTGCAACGCATCTGAAAGTTTACATGTATATGTAATACAATATAAAGTCAATATAAAGTCCGTTAACATATAACCAGTTAAAGGCTGATTTCAACACATGAAACGATTGCCTCGATACCGCTGCCATTTAAAATACTTTGTTCCGAATCACGCGGAAAGCACTGTTAATTATTGCGTTGACAGATGAACCGATGGTTACATAAATGTCACAGAGAGAGAGAGAGAGAGAGAGAGAGAGAGAGAGAGAGAGAGAGAGAGAGAGAGAGAGAGAGAGAGAGAGAGAGGGTTGTCATTCAGTCTGGGATTTTCAGTAGTCCCCATAGACCCCTTATCGCCCATCCGTCTGTCCAGACGGAATGAAGTGTTATCTTTTCTAAGCGTCTGGATTGTAGAGAAAGTCCATGTGCAACTTATTGAAAATACATGTATATTGATCATAGTCAAGAAAAATGTCCCTCTTTCTTGCTCTCTCAAACGATCTCTCTCTCTCTCTCTCTCTCTCTCTCTCT